CAGCCTAAGCACATGAAAAGATGAAGGCATCATTCTTTTTTTTTAATCGTTTTATTAGGGGCTCATACAACTCTTATCACAATTCATACATACATCAATTGTGTAAAGCGCATTTGTACATTCATTGCCCTCATCATTCTCAAAACAATTCCTCTCCACATAAGCCCCCGGCATTAGGTCCCTCATTTTTCGAAGGCATCATTCATTATCAAAGCAATGCAATCAAAAGCACAAGGGAGATACTACCTCACACCACCGAGGACAGCATCAGAAAGTCACATCACAAGTGTTGTTGAAGATGTGGAGAAACCATTTCTCTCAGAGACTACTACTGAAAATGCAAAACAGTGCAGCCATTTTTTAAAAAAGCCTGGCGATTCCCAAATAAGAACATCATTTATCTTATGACCCAGCAATGCGACTTTGGAATATACCCAAGAAAAATAAAAACATATGAGGGGGAAACCAAAAATAAAAAGGACAAAAGCAGAGCATTTTTCCTGCCGGGAGAGCATCGAGCTTGCTCTGAGGTAGTGCACCCAGTGGCATCACCCGGTCAAGGTGAATTTTTTTATAAAAGCAGTTTCACTCAAACCTCATTTTGTGTGATGGCTAATAAAAGAGAAAACAGCGTGCAGCTGTGAAATTTTGTTTCCTGCTTGGGAAAACTGCTGAAGAAACTGTTGTGATGTTGAACACAGATTTACAAGGACAGCCCTATGTGAAAACCTCAAGTTTTCTCATTTCAAGGAAGGTGAAGTGCCAATTGATAACAAAACTCATTCCGGACGTTTGTCAACATCCCGAACAGATGAAAATATCGACAAAATTTGTGCGCTTGTGCTTACGGACCAACAACAGACCATTGAAGAGCTGGAGAAGTTATCCGGACTATCTTTGAGATGGTTTCAGCAAATTTTAATAGAAGATTTGGGAATGAGAAGGGTCACTGTGAAATTTGTACCTCGGGTTCTAACTGTCCAGCAAAAAGAGCATTGATTGGGGAAACATGATGTGCTTTGAAAGAACAGCTCCAAAATGACCTAGACTTTTTTCCCAGGGTCATTACTGGTGACGAAATATAGTGTTATTCTTACGACCCCTAAGGCAAACCTCAATCAAGCCAGGGAAAGATGCCATCATCATCTCGCCCAAAAAAAGCTTGTCAAGTGAAATCAAAGATCAAGATGATGCTCCTTTGTTTTTTTGATGTGAGGGGGACAGTGAGTGCATTTGAAGTTCATTCTACCAGGTCAGGCTGTTAATCAAGCTTTCTATTTAGAGGTTCTGAAAAGATTTCCTAACAGTGTGCAACAAAAAAGGCCTGATTTGTGGCAGACAGGGGACTGGTTCTGCAACCATGACTGTGCACCTGCTCATGCAGCCATCTCAGTGCACTAGTTTTTGGCAAAAAACAACATGCCTCTCTTGCCCCACGCACCTGACTCGCCTGACCTCGCTCCATGCTACTTCT